CATGCATACTAGTCTTTTTGGTCACCGCATATTCTTCAGCACAAATGCCTTCAATCTTAAAGTTCACATTAACATATTTTAAAATGGTGAACAAATATATTTGTTTATTTTTATAGTACTAAAGGAGTGCAGAAATGATCCGACCCTTCTACTGCCACACCCCGGTGAATGTCAGGTTTATTACGACTGCTCTGTGTTCTATGAGAATGTCCCAAGATATTTTGAGCAACATTTAGAGGAATGCCATTACCCTCTTCTGTTTTCAACGGAAACTCTGAAGTGTGAACAACCTGGAGATGTCAACTGTGGAGAACGCAAGGAATTCAAAGACAGATGTAAATCTTTTTGTTAATTATCGTATATCACAATCATTCTTTTTTTTTTGTACTTTATTTACTTCAATTTAAGAATCTTGTATTATCAATAATTTATATTTTTTTTATTTTATTATCAACTTTAGACAGTTTAATCATAAAAGAAACTGTAAACTACTTCATATCTTTCGAGAAAAAAACTCATCAAATATACCAGGCTTACAATTTGGTACATAAAAATCACTAGTGTCGCTTGAATCAAAACAAAACAGTTATAAAGTCAAAACAAATACGACTTTGAAGAGCATTTATTTTTTTTACTTGCTTTGCACAACGGCTAAATTTTGAATATTTTTATAGAATCTGCAAATTTAACCAAACAAATGTTTCCAACAGCATTAAAAGCGACATTCAATTTTGATTTATTTTGCCAACTATCAAATTTCTATTATTCTGAATTGTGTTCATATATTATAATTTGAAAGTTGTAGTTCCTCCCTATAGTTTCTCCATTTAATTTCAGGTGATTACCGAAGAGAACAATGCGGATCTGGGCATTGTTATACTTGTCGTCTTATATATCCTAGCTGCATTGGAAAGACTGATGGTTTAAATGACTTCCCTTACAGACCAAATACACCGTATTATATCAATTGTGAAAACCAACGTCTTAAAAGTGCTGGTTTATGTGGAAAGGATTCAGTAACGGGAAAGCAAATGTTCTTTATAAAAAACGGATGCTTTTAAAAAATAAAATTTGATATTTTTTGTCATTTTTCTCTGTATGTTGTTAATTTGCATTCACTCATGACACATTGAAATGTCACAGTACAAGGGGGAAATATTAACATATTCAATAAAAATACCAGACATATAAATAGATAACAATGCGCATGACCAATATAATATTTTACTTTAAATCATAGAATGGGTGGTGACACAATGAACGCAATATACCACCCACTCCGTCATTTGATTCTTTCCGTCCGTCCGTCCGTACTTTCGTTTTAGCGTCTGCTGCTGCATTATGTAATGATTTGATATTTGTTCTGGAACTATATGATGATGAAAGTACCTTTGAGAAATTTCCAGATCTCTCGGTCAGTCTTTATTATACTTTGATGATTTTCGTTACATTCTCACTGAGCATAGGCATTTTTTTTACTTATTACCAATCTTCTCTATTTAGGAAAGATCTGATATTTGGTTTGGAACTTCATCATGATGAGTTGTACCGTGTTCCGATATTTAGACCTGCCGGACAGTCACTTCAATATTTTTTTAACGAAACTTTGAATTTTTATAAAACACACTGTGTATTGATTTTTCTAGTACATATTATAATGCTTCTGTATTATGGAGTTATTGAATATTTGGTCTGGAACTTTATTATGACAAATGTAAAGTGTAGCCGATTTTCAGATCTGCCGGACAGTCGCTTCCTGTCAAACGAGTTTTGTTTGAATTTGCATTATACTGTGATCCAATGAGAATGGAATTTTCCGTTACATATAACTCAGCTACTGTTTAAGGAAAATCTGGAACTTGTATAAGTGATGTTGAGTACACTGTTCCGTGTAAGAGATTTTGTTATCTACCGGGCTGTCACTTCCTATTTGACGATACTTTCAATTTTTCTTATTACCCACACAAAAATGTCAAATAAGCAAATGGGGTATATTTGTATTTCGTGTGAAGCTTCTTGGTATTTTTCTCCACTAATTTAGTTTATTAAGGTAAAATATGTATTTAAGTTTGAGAATACGGAAGCGGTGAGAGTAACCACTATATTTTACTTCTCAAACCTATAGGTAGGTATGGGTCGGTAGAAAAGATCAAGGGATCAAAGTTGAAACTATACCAAGAAGGTTTTCGAATTTGTGATCATTTTCAAAAAGACAGAAGACCGTGAAAAAAAGAAAGGATCAAAAAGTAAAACCTCGAAGAAAAGATGAAAATACCAAGGTTATCTTGTATGTACTTTTTGTAATCGAAATTACATGTAAAAGGGGGATGGTTTCAGATCTTAAAAAAGAATGTTAAACCTCTTCAAATCCCTGTGTGCCTGTCCAAAGTTTAAACCTCTTCAAATCCCTGTGTGCCTGTCCAAAGTTTAAACCTCTTCAAATCCCTGTGTGCCTGTCCAAAGTTTAAACCTCTTCAATCTCTGTGTGCCTGTCCAAAGTTTAAACCTCTTCAAATCCCTGTGTGCCTGTCCAAAGTTTAAACCTCTTCAAATCCCTGTGTGCCTGTCCAAAGTTTAAACCTCTTCAAATCCCTGTGTGCCTGTCCAAAGTTTAAACCTCTTCAAATCCCTGTGTGCCTGTCCAAAGTTTAAACCTCTTCAAATCCCTGTGTGCCTGTCCAAAGTTTAAACCTCTTCAAATCCCTGTGTGCCTGTCCAAAGTTTAAACCTCTTCAAATCCCTGTGTGCCTGTCCAAAGTTTAAACCTCTTCAAATCCCTGTGTGCCTGTCCAAAGTTTAAACCTCTTCAAATCCCTGTGTGCCTGTCCAAAGTTTAAACCTCTTCAATCTCTGTGTGCCTGTCCAAAGTTTAAACCTCTTCAAATCCCTGTGTGCCTGTCCAAAGTTTAAACCTCTTCAAATCCCTGTGTGCCTGTCCAAAGTTTAAACCTCTTCAAATCCCTGTGTGCCTGTCCAAAGTTTAAACCTCTTCAAATCCCTGTGTGCCTGTCCAAAGTTTAAACCTCTTCAAATCCCTGTGTGCCTGTCCAAAGTTTAAACCTCTTCAATCTCTGTGTGCCTGTCCAAAGTTTAAACCTCTTCAAATCCCTGTGTGCCTGTCCAAAGTTTAAACCTCTTCAAATCCCTGTGTGCCTGTCCAAAGTTTAAACCTCTTCAAATCCCTGTGTGCCTGTCCAAAGTTTAAACCTCTTCAAATCCCTGTGTGCCTGTCCAAAGTTTAAACCTCTTCAAATCCCTGTGTGCCTGTCCAAAGTTTAAACCTCTTCAAATCCCTGTGTGCCTGTCCAAAGTTAAGAACTTCGTCAGTGGTTGTCTTGTGTTATATCTTAATGTTTTTGGTTAATCAAGGAATTTACATCGCTGATGGAGGATCTTTCTGTTTATAATAAATTCACTTCCATAGACTAGATATGATTTAGAGATTGTCGTATTGTATATGACACCTGTCTATTGCTGAAGACCAGATGCTGTCCTCTGATACATTTTTGTTTGCTGTCTCATTGGCGCATACTAACATCTCCTTTTGTTCGTGTATATTTCATTTCCAAACGCCAGTCGTGCACGGAATGTGTTTTAGTATACTGCTGTTCACACTTCGTACAATTTTTTTAAAAATAAAATTACACATTGTAAAGAATAATGAAAGAAATCTCTCTTACAATTATTGTGACTTTGTTTGTATTGTTGTTTTTTTTTCAAATGTTTAACTTTAAATTATTAAAATAAGGAAAATTGTCATATTACTAGTATTGGATGTTTCTATAACGGCTTCACAATTTGGCTAAACAGTTGTGTGCCATATTTCAACCGATAAATTGTATGTCTCCTTTTGATAGTTTTCGATCTGATCGAAATTCAGAACTATCACAATTTGTGCGCTCGTATTTAAAGCTCATATGAGGATAGCTAAATCAGAGATCTATAGTTTAATTAGATTGCATAGTTTTTATTATTTCAATTTCGATTTTTTTTTTTCATTTTCATTATTTTGCAATTTGTTGTTTGGTATTTATGAAACCTGTTCTTTTATTTGTAAAAGTCTGTCCATCCAATCATATTTCGTACAATAAGTCACCATTGATATAAGGATCATTCGAGTATAAATGCACCTTAGTACCAATATGCTCGTGACCTTGCAAGTTCTCATCCTTGAGAGAAGTTAACAAAAAAAATAATAGTTCGAATATAAAAGACTTGTTTGAAATTCTAGTTATTCGCGCAATGCATCTTGATATGAATATTTTCCTTTGTTTTATGCCCATTGAAAACAGGTAGTACATTCAGGTTGTAAAAAATATTCTGAAAATTGTGGTTTGGTTATGTGAGAAACATTTTTAACAAAACACCATTTATTAAAATTAAGTAATAGCATACAAACATAACGTAAATATAAATAACTAATATTATTGTCATCAACATATAAACTCATTTAACGAGCAAATAGAAACACTTATTTTCACCTTCATAAGGAACATTCAACTGTGAATTGTGAACAGATATATCATGTTAAGGAGAGGTATTTGCGAAAAATACCAGTCGAGAGAATTTTAAATTTCGCGAGCCGTAAGGCGAGGGAAATTTTATCTCAAGACTGGTATTTTTCGCAAATACCCCCCAAGAACATGCTATATCTGTTTAATAGACTATTTTCATATTACCAACTTTTGACTCCGGATTATATAATTTGTCGACTGGTTACCTTGGACATCATGGTACCAAGTCAGGTAAGAGCAAGCTAAAGAAGTAAAACCAAGCGTTCAATCGGTACAATTTTGGGGGAAAATTACCTGCTTAACATTTTTCTACAAAATCATTGGAGCAGTAAACTTTCCCCTCAAATTACACCGATTATATGTTTGATTTTACTTATTTTGGTTGCTCTTACTTGACCGAGTACCATGATGTCCAAGGTAACCAGTCGACAAATTATATAATCCGGAGTCAAAAGTCGGTAATATGAAAATAGTCTATTACACCGAATGTTAACGTTCAAAAACGCATTGATGATCGTGACGTTACAAGCGTCCAGTCGGATAGAGTATTTTTTGGCAAATACCATGGCAGAGAGGGTAAAAAAGGCATATCCTTTTTGCATATACCCCGGCGGCGTTAAAAAATGAACGATATTCATTTGATAACAGTAAATTGGTGAAAAATACACTGGCTATCAACCAATCAAAACCCAGGATTCTTACATAAGGTGTAATTAAAGAACAAATCCATGAGGTAACATTAATAAAATAAATCTGGCAAAGTAATCAAACATTTACTGTCATAATTTAGCCCGACAATCACACTGAAACGTCCAAAAACAATACAAACATTAGACAACAACGGGGCACATCAAGATATGTGTTAGATAACTTGGCAGGAAAAATAGTATGCATAGGGCTAAAAAAATATAAAAGCATGCACATGTATGTTTCAGTAGAATCCGTCATTTTGATTGGCTGACAACAATCGTGATGGTCCAGTATTATACATTTATTTCCATTGCCTACGGGAAATATGAAGATTTGTTCACCTAAAAAATTCGAGTGTAAAAAAATCTTTATATATCCCTAAGCCAAGGGAAATGAAGGTTTTATTCCACTGTCTATACTTTTTTTTACTCTCATAACATAGAATGTCAATTGTCATACAATTTTTCTTATCTGCCTATAAAATACAACAGCTATAACTGAACGTGCTATCCGTGACAATGTAAAAACAATCCATAGAAAAACAAACAAAAAGCTTGATACAACTCTTTTCATGGTTGTAGCATAAAAATGTAATAATAATAATTGAATGCTTTTTTTTTATAATTTTAGTGGTTTTAAAAGCGTGCTTCGGTCAACGATTTTACAGCCACCCAAAATTAAAAGGAGAATCAATCAATTCTTAAATAGTACTGCTATAAGGTTAACATAATTCAAAAATACTAAATGTTGATACTTTGATTTCTGTCCTTAATCCCGTTTTTCATATTTGTTTTTGATTCATATGTCTGATTAACAAATGTAGCTTCTGTAGCGTCGTCATCGTCATACCCAAAGTTATCCATTATGACGTCATCTTTATATTTCTGTGAACCTTCCTCTTCACCATAACGAGCAACTTTATTATTATTTGTTTTGTTTCTGATAGACATAGAAATGGATTAATGATAACTTATTTTGAAAATGTGGGTAAGATTCCATGAGACAAATCGACCCATGACAATAAATTTTCATTTTTTGGTTAATTATGTTATATAATTTGTAACTTTTTAACTCCTAACTTCACTAATATTTTTTTTTCTTTCTTTTTTATTGTTTATTGTTGTGTTTGGTTTTTCTTATTGTTCTTTTTTGTTTTTTTGATATATATAAGTTAATAAATAAGCTCCTACAAAGGTTTGTTGTTCTCATCGTCTCTTTTCATGTGATAGATATGAAAGCTTTAATAAAGATTGTTAGTACGTAATACTCTATGTGCAATAATCATGATGTAAAGTACATTCCGTGTCGTTGTTATATGATGATGGATGGCTGTTTCACGTCCAGCGGCAAATTAAATGCATATTCAAGAAGAGAACATGTTCATGTTATATGAATATTTACCATGTACTAGATCAACACGCTAACCTGGATTTTTACGTGCTAGTTCACAAGATAATTAACCACAGGAAGACAAATGAGTCACCCTACCCAGACACATTATAAACCAACCAGTCTTTGCTCTTACTCCTTAATGCCGCGCTATTTACGGAGAAACAACGAATACCAATTTTAAAGTCTTTGGTTTGATCTTGCCGAAGTCAAGGCGAACGCGCTACCACGAGACCGCTGAGGTATAAACATAAGCTTTAAAGGGGCATTAGCTGTCAAATTCATGTTCACCGATTTGACTCAAATTCTCATATTTGATTTTTTATAACATACTAAAACTACAAAAAATTCTAAAATAAACAAGTAACAATGCATGAACTCGATAATATGTATCAACTTTTCGTGTGTATTTTTTCATTTAATTAACCATCGAGATGACCTCCGAAGGCTGCCGACGGTCATATAACCCGATATAAACCAAAAAAATACAAACAGGTAGCGACCACGTGTAATTGAATTTGTCTATGTCTGTTTGATTTCATACTGTAGGTTCAAAAGTATGTTTATCATCGTTTTTACCTGTATATGAATGATTTTTTGTGGATCGAATCAGTCAACCAAATTGTTCATCCTTGTTTCACTTTCAATGTTGACATTTTTTCCCTTTTAATAGCTGAATACATGCGAAACCCATCTCCAGCTAGGGGGTTAAATTGAAGGTCACATCAATACGGATTCAATGCGGTCGAATTATTCACTTGCAAGTGAATAATTCATCAGCGATGTTTCTTATCTTATTTTGACAAAAACCAAATTCGCTGCTTAAAGCGAATTAGTATTTCACTATATCACTTTCATAAATGATCGAACCAAAAAAAAAATCATAATTTAATTATTTTTTTTATATCTCGTAGCTAATGCCCCTTTAACATTGTTATTTTGAATGTTCACCGTTTCGTTGTAGTATATAAACAAGCTTTAAAGTTAAAAAAAGTTTTAACATTGTAATTTGTAGTAATCACCGTTTCTTTGTGGTGCATAACTAAGCTTTTGTGATTTGTAGTCCTCGCTGTATTTTGTGATATATAAGTCAGCTTTCATAGTAGTTCTTAGACTGGCCGTTTATTTATGATATACCGGTATAAGTAAACTTTTAAAATGATTTATTGTACTCGCCGATTTTAAGTTGAATATAAGTAAACTTTATATATAATGTGCACTACTTACAGTTACTTTGAGATAGATATCAGTCTATGGAAAGTGCGAATCGAGAAAACCGTTTCTTATGTGGAGTCGCGATATTTTCTTATATGAAATTGTAAATATGCAGATACACCATGAGAATAAAGGTGTTTTTTGCAATGAAAAATATGTTTAATATTAAAATACATAAATATGTTTAATATTAAAATACATACATACGTTCAGTCCGGAATGAATTCACTCAACAAACAGGAGAGTTTTATGTATTACCATTAATGAATAGAGCATGAAATCGATAAAAACCTGCATTTCAAAGTCGTTTAAAGGAAAAGAGTCAAGTTGACCAGTAAAAACGGGCAACAAGGTCAGATTTTGTTATGAACATAATTTATACACTGTAAACCTATCATTTAAATTAAACAAAAAATCGTCGTGGAATATGCTCAATATCAAAATAATAGCAAAACTTTATGTCCGTGTAAAATGTGTACTGCTTCGTTTTTCTTTTGTGAATAAATAATCAAATTCCATTTATTTTATTGTAGATGCGATATTTTTTCAATGTAGTCGCGGTATGTTTTTATTATAACTATTCTTTTCATGATATATGAGGTAGCATATATTGGCTCACTTCTTAACGTCAAAATGAATTTTTGAGACATCTTTCTAAATTCTGAATTATTCTGACCTGCTTACATTTCCGGAGCACCTAAGATCACCTCTAGTTTTGTTTTAAAGGGGTTCGTGTTGCTCTTGCTTTAGTTTTGAGTGTTGCACTTTGTGCTATTTAATTTTTCGACGTATTTGTTTTTTATACCGGTAACAGTCTCGTCTATCCCTTGTCATGACAAACGTGTTTCTATTTCAAAATTTCACAGTCGGTCAAGTTTCAGGGTTAGAACATTTACCTTACCGATAGTTTATTAATTTGGTGATGTCTTAAGAGTAAGATAAGAGTCAATTACTAATCCGTTATTTTGTAATACCATATCACTTGATACTTATCAACGTATTTTTTAGGAGTAACACGACAGGTGTTGCATGTGGAGCAGGATCTGCTTACCCTTATGAGGAACCTGAGATCACCCCCAGTTTTTTGGGGATTTCGTGTTGCTCAGTCTTTATCTTTCTATATTTTGTTTTATGTACTATTGTTTGTCTGTTTATCTTTTTCTATTTTAGCCATGGCGTTGTCAGTTTATTTTCGACTTATGAGTTTGAATGTCCCTTTGGTATCTTTCGCCTCTCTTTCACACATATTTGTATTAGATAAAAGTTATATGTGAAGAAAAAAATCAAGTCATGTTGTATAGACCGACCCGACCTTTAGTTCAAATTGGTGGCATTGATCTAACATCTATTAAATTTCTATATGAACACATCCAAAAATACATTTCCGATATCCTTACTAAATGTAAACTGTAGAAATGGTGTTAAGATCCCAGACACAATTCTAACTGATACATTGTTTGCGCACTTTTTTTTTACATGTTTAGGTGTAAACATGTGTAATTTCGTAACATAGATTATAAGAAGATGTGGTATGAGTGCCAATGAGACAACTCTCCATCCAAGTCAAAATTTATAAAAGTAAACCATTATAGGTCAAAGTACGGTCTTTAACCTGGAGCCTTGGCTCACACCGAACAGCAAGCTATAAAGGGCCCCAAAAATTACTAGTGTAAAACCATTCAAACGGGAAAACAAACGGTCTAATCTATATAAAAAACGAGAAACGAGAAACACTTATGAACCACATCAACAAACGACAACTACTGAACATCAGATTCCTGACTTAGGACAGTTGCAAACAATGGCAGCGGGTTTAAACGTTTTAATGGTACCAAACCTTCACCCTTATCTAAAACAATCGTGTAACATCACAACATAGAAAGACACACTATAAAGTATCAATTGAAATGGCTTAACTCAATCAAAAGACATGTTTTGAATTGAACTCTCACCTCATTGCAATTTAAAGACGGCCCCTAGCATCGTTTGAGCAGAGTTCTTTGAAAATCATGAAATATATTAATTTTCAGGTTTTACTGGAAAACAGATTGGAATAAATTGTGTATCGGAATATTTCTTTCTCTTAAGAAATAATATTTCTTTGTCAACATGGCTATTTACTGTATGACCTATGATGCAATCGAATAGCCGAGGAGAATAGTTACAGTAGCCACATTTAAATTCTGCCATAGAAACAATACTAATTGAATAGCTCGGTGTAACCATAGGCTTGTATATTATGCACTTAAAAGGTGGTAAATACTGTGCAATATTGATTGGAAAACCCAAAATTGATCGACGCACAGTTGATATTGAACATCGTGGCTACTTCTTTCTAATGGTATAATTGGTTAATTATGTACGTGCATCATATACAAAATGTCAATCATATTTTGTCAGTAACATCGAACCTTTCATGAATAATTGTCGATGTGTCTGCTTTGTTTGGATGCATTGTGCCATATCATCATATTTTTTTTCATATGAAAAATGTATCGCATTTATACTAGAAAAATAGTTTTTCATAATAAAAGTATATTGCTTTTCTATCAGAAAAACGTTGCACTCATATAAGAAAATATAGCATTATTATCCCATTACAAGTGATTATGCCGTAGAATGCAATCGAATACGTTCAATGGCCATTCCACTGTCTTTAGTACATGATTGGTAAAGTATTTGTACACCTCAAAATTATTGATCGTACAAATAGTGTTATATTTATACAACAAACTTGGGATACAATTTTCAAAATACATGGCAAGTTGTAAATACGCTTGTCCTGTTAAACACGTCTATGTTTTAAAGAAAATAAATAAGTACTTTTTGATGAATTTTCTTTAAATCCTACAAATGTCAACATTCATCTGAAACTTCCCCATAATGTAGCTCGTTTCCAAAAGAAAATACCGCTACTCCACATAAGAAAAGGTTTTCCCGATTCGCCCTTTCCATAGACTGTATATGTAAGTTTTTCGAATAGTTTGTAGTAAATACCGTTTCTATGTGATATATATGTAAGTGTTTCATATTAGTATAATATAATTGTCTTATTTTATAGTTAAGCTTTACAGTGATTTGTAGTACTCGCTTGTGCTATATAAGTACTTTAATAATGATTTGTGGTAATCACTATAAAAATAAGCTTCTATAAGGTTTTGTTGATATGATTTTTGCTATTTAAGTAAGCTTTTATTATGATTTTTAGTACTCACCGTTTCTTTGTGATATACAAGTAAGCTGTAATAATAACTACTACTGCTAGTGCTGCAATAACTATGCCTGCAATCAAACCACCATGACTGTTGGAGTTCTGTTTTAAAATTAGATAAAAAAAAATATAGTTAAAAGTGGCAATACGAGTAATGAGAATGCTTTATATAAATATCTTTATCTATGCGCAAGGTATCAGCTATTTAATTGCATGGAAATGATAAGAAAATATCATAATTTTTCAACTCAAAACATGTCCTAATTCTTGACGTTGTAAACTGTTCAACTGTATGAGTTGCTTACAAATTATTACAAGTTATTTCCAGAGGCGGAATATACCAAAGGGATATTCAACTCACAAGTCAATGACAAACTGAAAACACCATTGCAAAAAACGATTAAAAGACAAACATCTGTCTATACAAAACACAACATAGAATACGAAAGACTGGCCGACACAAACCCCACCAAAACCAGGAAAGTATCTCATCAGGTGCTCCGGAAGGGTTAGCCGATCTTGCTCTACACATGACATCAGTTAATTCTATGAAATACGTTGATAGAAACTCATCACAGATACTAGGTTTAAAAATTGGTTTTCGCCTACATGAGAATCTCGACAGTGGCGCTCGAATCAAAACAGTTGAAAAACAAGTACGATAAGTTATATTTTTGAATTTTTAGGCATCACGCAAAAGCGGAATGGTAATTGACTCTTATCTCACCTTAAGAATCGCCAAATTCGTAGACCATTGGTCATTTAAATTTTCAAACCCTTAAACTTGACAGAATGTAAAATTTCTAAAACACGTATTTCGAAATAAAGAATAGACCAAAATGTTGGAAACAGCACTAAAAAGTAAATAAAGAGCAACACGGACCCTTTTAATCAAAAGAAGGGTTGATCTCAGATGTTCCGGAAGGCTGAGCAGATCTTGCTCCACATGTGGCACCCATTGTGTTGTTCAAGTATGAAAATTGCGGTGATAAGTCTCATTCGTAAATGTCACATTCGAGGAGGAAAAAGGACAGAATTTTGGATAATTGCAACATACCCAACGTCATCTATGGAAAAGGTATTCCATACGGTCAACCAGCTCGTGGTGGCGTCCGTAAAAGTTTTGAAGGGAAGACTTCAACTTTACCACTTGGAATCCTTGGTTTAATACTATTTATTTGTAAGCAACAAGTTTTGAAATATCGTTTCACCTTGGAGATATATATTTAATATACAGGCGCTAACCGGAATGTTGCTACATAGAAATGGAAAGGTCACAATTGCGAGGCTAAAATCATCTATTTGTCGTGAAGTTTTGTTTTCAACCCAACAAAGAAAAACTGAAGACACCATGGTAAAATAAACAAAAAAGACAACGAAATGACGAACAAGGTCACAAAACACTACATAGAAAACTAAAGATTGATCTTTGAATAAAATTTATGCATGTGATCTATTTCAAAACAATAAATAAATACGTTAGCTTTTCATGAAACATTTGATTTCTATTGCAATTTGACTTTTACTATATAACGTTATTACTACGTTTTACCTTATCTGTGGTTTTTGTTGGTTGCTTTTTCACTTCGCCATTATATTGTTGTAGTTGAAGAGCTGATGTTGCCTGAGTAAAATACTTCTTTACCTCTTTGTTACCAAGTTCTTTGCCGTTCTTTGTTACAGTGTACATAACTTTGGTAACCAACTCACTGAAAATTTATATTTTTCATCTTAGATATTTCTAAATTGAAAGCATAGTGTATTTTATTTGGTGCTTTCAATTTTTTTGTTTTGAGCGTCATTGGTGAGTCTTTTGTAGACGAAACGCGCGTCTAGTGTGCAAAATTTTAAACCTGGTATTTATGATGAGCTTATTTAGATGGATTTGGCCATTATTTTATGTCCTTTTTAGTCACATAGTTCTTCAATTGTTCAACGGTTCTTATACGTCATAGGCTTTCAATTATTCGGCCTTGAGCGTTGATGAAGATATATCCAGAAAAGCGCTTCAGACACATGGAATTTATAAAGTGTTGTCTTCATTTCATACCACAATCTATTTTGTTTTGTAAATCAATGGATAATATTTGATAGTAAAACAGTAACTTGCGTACTAATTTCCTTTTTTGATTATGATTATCATAGAATGCGACTTATCAATGAAATTTTACATTGCATGATCAACACGACGCGTGCTACTATTGATGCAGGATTTGCTTACCTTTAAGGAGGACCTGAATTTAAATGATCTTATATTTATATATGATATTGACTATTTTCTTTAAGGAACCATTTCGTATTTGGCAAAACCTTTTGGAAGTTTTTTTCTCCCTATGCTTTGTACTTTATTTGGACTTTTAACTGTTTTGATTCGAGAGTCACTGACGAGTCTTTTGTAGAGAAAACACGCGTCTGGCATACACAATTATAAGCCTGGTATCTTTGGTGAGTAATTTATAAACCACTGGGTCGATGCAACTACTGTTTGAGGTTTCCTCCCCGAGGATATCACAAGCCCAGGCCAGTAGTCAGCACTTCTGTGTTGACATGAATTATCATTGATATTGTCATATTTCTAAGTAAACTGTTTTCAAAACTTTGAATTGTTTGTAATACTTAGAGTTTTCTACCCCAGAAAAAGATTACCTTAGATGTATTTGGCAAAAAATAAGGAATTATAGGTCATATTGTTATACGTATTAACTTATTTGACGTTCTTCATCCTTATATAAGTCATCGGAACTTACTTATTTTCTCCTAATACTATTTCAGTTGACGTTGTGATTTGTATGTCGGCACCTGGATCATTTAAAGAATGCTCAATCAAGTCTTTCATTGTAGCTGTGATGTTTTTCACAGATATTGTAACGTCACCTTTGATCAGATATAATCCTGGCTTTGGTACTGAATGAATGAAAGTTGATGAGGCAGTAGGCTTATGGGTCGTTTTTGTTTTGATTGATTTCTGAGTGGTTCTTCCAGAAGTACTTTCTTTTGCTGTTGTCATAAATGTTGTAAATTTTGTAGTTGTTGGCGGGACTGTGACTTTTGTTGTCATAGTTGTAAGTTGCGTTGTTATCGACAGAGGTGTTTCTTTCGTTGATTTTGAATTAGTTGTGGGCTTCATTGATGTTGGTAGAGAAGTACTTTTCGGTGTAATTACAGTTGAGGCTTTCTTCGTTGTCGATGTTGACATAGTTGTGATTATTGTCGTCTGAGTTCTGGACTTTTGTGTTGTCGACATAGTTGTAGACTTTATAGTTGTTGTAGGAGTAGCACGTGTCATTGTTGTTGTTGGAAGAGTAGTAGTACTTTGTACTGTTGTTGTCGGAGTTGTACGTTTCTTTGTTGTTAGTAAAGTTGTACTTTGTATTGTTGTTAGCGGAGTAGTACGTTTCTTTGTTGTTGGTATGGTTGTACTTTGCACTGTTGTTGGCGGAGTAGTACGATTCTTTGTTGTTAGTAAGGTTGTACTTTGCACTGTTGTTGGCGGAGAAGTACGTTTCTTTGTTGTTGGCAGGGTTGTACTTTGCACTGTTGTTGGCGGAGTAGTACGTTTCTTTGTTGTTGGCAAGGTTGTACTTTGTACTGTTGTTGGCGCAGTAGTACGTTTTATTGTTGTAGATGGAGTAGTAAGTTTCCTTGATGCTGACGGAGTAGTAGGTTTCGTTGTTGTAGACGGAGTAGTAGATTTTGTGGTTGTTTTCGGTGCCAATGTACTTATCAAAATATCACAGTCTTTTCCCATGTATCCACTTTGACATGAACAGAGGTAATCATTTGTTCTGTCCTTGCAACTGCTATTGTGTTTACAAGGATTCGATGCACATTCATTAATATAAGTTTTACAGAACTTTCCAGTAAACCCTTTGAAACATGTACATGAAAATCCATTCTCGTGATCAAAACATGTTCCATTATAGCAGGGATTACTACTACATTCATCAATATTTTTTTCACAATATTTTCCGCTATAACCGGACGTGCAAGTACAAATATATCCATTTACTCGGTCGACACATGAACCATGTTTGCAAAGACTATCTTTACAATCGTTAATATTAATTTCACAATCGCGACCAGTGAATCCCGTCAAGCAAGTACAAATGTAGTTGTTAATGTCATCTTGACACTTGCCAGAGTTCTTACACGGGTTCGGAGAACAATTGTTGATATTTATTTCACAGTTTCGACCGGTGAAGCCAGCTAAGCAGGAACATGTATAATTGTTAATACCATCTTGACACTTGCCAGAGTTTTTACATGGGTTCGGAGAACAATTGTTGATATTTATTTCACAATTTCGACCGTTGAAACCAGCTAAGCAGGAACAGGTATAATTGTTAATACCATCTTGACACTTGCCGGAGTTTTTACACGGGTTCGGAGAACAATTGTTGATATTTGTTTCACAGTTTCGACCGGTGAAGCCAACTAAGCAGGAACAGGTATAATTGTTAACACCATCTTGACACTTGCCAGAGTTCTTACACGGGTTCGGAGAACAATTGTTGATATTTATTTCACAGTTTCGACCGGTGAAGCCAGCTAAGCAGGAACATGTAAAATTGTTAATACCATCTTGACACTTGCCAGAGTTTTTACATGGGTTCGGAGAACAATTGTTGATATTTATTTCACAGTTTCGACCGTTGAAACCAGCTAAGCAGGAACAGGTATAATTGTTAATACCATCTTGACACTTGCCGGAGTTTTTACACGGGTTCGGAGAACAATTGTTGATATTTGTTTCACAGTTTCGACCGGTGAAGCCAGATAAGCAGGAACAGGTATAATTGTTAACACCATCTTGACACTTGCCAGAGTTCTTACACGGGTTCGGAGAACAATTGTTGATATTTATTTCACAGTTTCGACCGGTGAAGCCAGCTAAGCAGGAACATGTATAATTGTTAATACCATCTTGACACTTGCCGGAGTTTTTACATGGGTTCGGAGAACAATTGTTGATATTTATTTCACAGTTTCGACCGTTGAAACCAGATAAGCAGGAACAGGTATAATTGTTAATACCATCTTGACACTTGCCGGCGTTTTTACACGGGTTCGGAGAACAATTGTTGATATTTGTTTCACAGTTTCGACCGGTGAAGCCAGCTAAGCAGGAACAGGTATAATTGTTAACACCATCTTGACACTTGCCAGAGTTCTTACACGGGTTCGGAGAACAATTGTTGATATTTATTTCACAGTTTCGACCTTTGAAGCCAACTAAGCAGGAACAAGTATAATTATTAATACCATCTTGACACTTCCCAGAGTTCTTACACGGGTTCGGAGAACAATTGTTGATATTTATTTCACAGTTTTGACCTTTGAAGCCAGCTAAGCAGTAACAGGTATAATTGTTAATACCATCTTGACACTTACCAGAGTTTTTACATGGGTTCGGAGAACAATTGTTGATATTTATTTCACAGTTTCGACCGGTGAAGCCAGCTATGCAGGAACAGGTATAATTGTTAACACCATCTTGGCACTTGCCAGAGTTCTTACACGGGTTCGGAGAACAATTGTTGATATTTATTTCACAGTTTCGACCGGTGAAGCCAACTAAGCAGGAACATGTATAATTGTTAATACTATCTTGGCACTTGCCAGAGTTCTTACATGGGTTTGGAGAACAATTGTTGGTATTTATTTCACAGTTTCGACCGGTGAAGCCAGCTAAGCAGGAACACGTATAATTGTTAACACCATCTTGACACTTCCCAGAGTTCTTACATGGGTTCGGAGAACAATTGTTGATATTTATTTCACAGTTTCGACCTTTGAAGCCAGCTAAGCAGGAACACGTATAATTGTTAACACCATCTTGGCACTTGCCAGAGTTCTTACACGGGTTCGGAGAACAATTGTTGATATTTATTTCACAGTTTCGACCGGTGAAGCCAGCTAAGCAGGAACAGGTATAATTGTTAATACCATCTTGGCACTTGCCAGCGTTCTTACACGGGTTCGGAGAACAATTGTTGATATTTATTTCACAGTTTCGACCGGTGAAGCCAGCTAAGCAGGAACATGTATAATTGTTCACACCATCTTGACACTTCCCAGAGTTCTTACACGGGTTTGGAGAACAATTGTTGATATTTATTTCACAGTTTTGACCGTTGAATCCAGCTAAGCAGGAACATGTATAATTGTTAATACCATCTTGGCACTTGCCAGAGTTCTTACACGGGTTTGGAGAACAATTGTTGATATTTATTTCACAGTTTCGACCGGTGAAGCCAGCTAAGCAGGAACAGGTATAATTGTTAACACCATCTTGACACTTGCCAGAGTTCTTACACGGGTTCGGAGAACAATTGTTGATATTTATTTCACAGTTTCGACCTTTGAAGCCAACTAAGCAGGAACAAGTATAATTATTAATACCATCTTGACACTTCCCAGAGTTCTTACACGGGTTCGGAGAACAATTGTTGATATTTATTTCACAGTTTTGACCTGTGAAGCCAGCTAAGCAGTAACAGGTATAATTGTTAATACCATCTTGACACTTACCAGAGTTTTTACACGGGTTCGGAGAACAATTGTTGATATTTATTTCACAGTTTCGACCGGTGAAGCCAGCTTTGCAGGAACAGGTATAATTGTTAACACCATCTTGGCACTTGCCAGAGTTCTTACACGGGTTCGGAGAACAATTGTTGATATTTATTTCACAGTTTCGACCGGTGAAGCCAACTAAGCAGGAACATGTATGATTGTTAATACTATCTTGGCACTTGCCAGAGTTCTTACATGGGTTTGGAGAACAATTGTTGGTATTTATTTCACAGTTTCGACCGGTGAAGCCAGCTAAGCAGGAACACGTATAATTGTTAACACCATCTTGACACTTCCCAGAGTTCTTACATGGGTTCGGAGAACAATTGTTGATATTTATTTCACAGTTTCGACCTTTGAAGCCAGCTAAGCAGGAACACGTATAATTGTTAACACCATATTGGCACTTGCCAGAGTTCTTACACGGGTTCGGAGAACAATTGTTGATATTTATTTCACAGTTTCGACCGGTGAAGCCAGCTAAGCAGGAACAGGTATAATTGTTAATACCATCTTGGCACTTGCCAGCGTTCTTACACGGGTTCGGAGAACAATTGTTGATATTTATTTCACAGTTTCGACCGGTGAAGCCAGCTAAGCAGGAACATGTATAATTGTTCACACCATCTTGACACTTCCCAGAGTTCTTACACGGGTTTGGAGAACAATTGTTGTTATTTATTTCACAGTTTTGACCGTTGAATCCAGCTAAGCAGGAACATGTATAATTGTTAATACCATCTTGGCACTTGCCAGAGTTCTTACACGGGTTTGGAGAACAATTGTTGATATTTATTTCACAGTTTCGACCGTTGAAGCCAGCTATGCAGGAACATGTATAATTGTTTACACCATCTTGACACTTGCCAGAGTTCTTACATGGGTTCGGAGAACAATTGTTGATATTTATTTCACAGTTTCGCCCTTTGAAGCCAACTAAGCAGGAACACGTATAATTGTTAACACCATCTTGACACTTCCCAGAGTTCTTACACGGGTTTGGAGAACAATTGTTGATATTTATTTCACAGTTTTGACCGTTGAATCCAGCTAAGCAGGAACATGTATAATTGTTAATACCATCTTGGCACTTGCCAGAGTTCTTACACGGGTTTGGAGAACAATTGTTGATATTTATTTCACAGTTTCGACCGTTGAAGCCAGCTATGCAGGAACATGTATAATTGTTTACACCATCTTGACACTTGCCAGAGTTCTTACACGGGTTTGGCGAACAGTCATTTATATTAGTTTCACAGCTTTTATCCGTGTAACCTGACGGACATATGCATATAAAGCTGCCTATATGATTTTTGCATGTAGCGGAATTCTTACAAGGATGAGACGAACATTCATTAATAGCTTCTGAACAGTTTTTTCCTGAAAAACCTGGATTGCAAACACACGAATAGTCACTCACATTGCTGCTACATGTTCCATTTAAACAAGGATTTGGTACACAGTGATTTATAACTTTAGTTGAACAATTTTTTCCTGTGTATCCTGTTTGGCAATTACATGTATATCCATTTGGTTTCCCCATGCATGTTCCATGATTGCATGGATTTGGCAAACAGTTGTCACATCTGATTCCATAATATCCTATCAATTTAAATAAATAGATTAAACATAGACCAGAAATTTAACAGATATACAATAAATTTTACTTTCAACCTATATCGTTTTTAGATAAAGCAGGTCTTAGATTACCACTACTTAATCTACGGAAGTTGTCCCCAAAACTGAGTTTGGGAATAGGGTTGTGTAGGGGCGGGGTTGAGCAGGGGCGGATCCAGGATTTTAAGGTGCGGGGGGGGGGGGCGAATTCTTAAATATTTTTGAGGTAAAATTATCGAAATATTCTTTATTAAGCTGAGGACAACCCATGCTTTGCAAATTTTAAGGGGGGCGCACGCCCGCCACGCCCCGCCTGAATCCGCGATTTCACCTACTAAATTTGTATAATTTGTTCTTTTCCTAAATATGCCATTGGCATTTATCAAGCAAATAACATTAAAGCAACCAGAAAATTTAACGTCTATTTCATTTATTCAGATTTTTTTAGACTCGTTGTAATTTATGTATTAACTTGACATGTATTTTGGACACTTGCCTATTACTGAAGACCGTTTATTGACCTCTTTGTGACTTGTGTATTTTTGCTTTTTACAGTATATTTCGGCTATTGTCTAAAAGATTTATAAAACACATTTCTTTTCGTATAGATAAAACTGTTTATTTCCTAAATATTAAAACATTGTATTGACAGTGTTATAATCGACTTCTGTTAGAAGTTAGTTGGAAATATACAGATAGAAATTTTGAATAGTTTAGAATTTCATATAAACTTTATATAACATTTAAATGGACATGGAACATCTGCATCTCATTACAACAAACGTATGCTGCTACTACCAAGGAAGAGTATATATAATATATCACGGCAATGCTAAATATGTAACAATAGTGTTCATGAAGTGTGTCAATTCTTGTTCACAGAAACAATGAAATTGAAGAACGAGTGGTCAAGAATTGCTCCCATTGTTGTTCAACGTTGTCTGTTTTTATTGTCAACATTTGCCCAAATTATATATGTATAAAGGTAGATCAAATGTGCAATTCATTACGGAATCGGAAAACGCTATGCATTGTCTTTTGGATATCAATTAAAATCATGTAGTTAAACGATATCCTCCGGTGTATAATTTTATAAAACACGCAAAATTGGCATTATTGTACCAAACAGGAAGTTACTATACCTAATGGAATTTCACCATTTAAGAATAAATAATTTCCTTACCAGATTTTTCATGATTTTATTACTTAATATTCTATATATTGATAGCATCAAAATGTTATCGAGCATTAAACATTGCTGTTTATAAATTATTCATTAAAGGGCAAAAATAAACAATATTAATTGATAAAGTACGACAAACTTTTTGAAATGACCCTTGTTTGAAAAAAAAACGTGAAAATTGTTCCAACATCCTTATTCCATACTGATCAGATTGTATAGGTACTTTTCTATCGTTGAAGACTTTTGTTCGTTTTGTTGCTGTCTCACTGACTAGGTATACACAATATTTATTTTAATTCACATGAATTATGAAAGAGGGACGAAAGATACCAGAGGGACAGTCAAACTCATAGATCGAAAACAAACTGACAACGCCATTGCCAAAAATAAAAAGACAAACAGACAAATAATAGTACAGATGACACAACATAGAAATCTAAAGACTAAGCAACACGAACCCCACCAAAACTGGGGGTGATCTCAGGTGCTCCGGAAGGGTAAGCAGATCCTGCTCCACATGTGGCACTCGTCGTGTTGCTTATGTTATTACAAATCCGGTAAATAGTCTAATTCGTGAATAGGCTGACATCAGCGCAATGGATTAATAAATAACTACTTACTGCACTTCATTTTCATTAAAGTAACAAAACTTTCATAAAAACCCGTTATTATGAATATACCAGAGGGACAGTCAAACTCATAGATCGAAAACAAACTGACAACGCCATTGCCAAAAATAAAAAGACAAACAGACAAATAATAGTACAGATGACACAACATAGAAATCTAAAGACTAAGCAACACGAACCCCACCAAAAACTGGGGGTGATCTTAGGTGCTCCGGAAGGGTAAGCAGATCCTGCTCCACATGTGGCACCCGTCGTGTTGCTTATGTTATTACAAATCCGGTAAATAGTCGTGAATAGGCTGACATCAGCGCAATGGATTAATAGATAACTACTTACTGCTCTTCATTTTCATTAAAGTAACAAAACTTTCATAAAAACCCGTTATTATGAATTTGAAAATCTACAAAATGTAGGATTCTTTTAGTATTTTTCGAAAACTATGACCAAAAGCAAATGTTGAGAATGTCGCGAAAACGTCGACGAGACGAAAATCCAACAACACAGTAAAACCAAGGGAGACATCCTGAGGTTTATATCATTGTGTTTACTTTTTAAGGTCAAATGTGACCGCGGTCAATTCTGTATGTTTTATCAGTTATAACCAGACATTCAGAATTTAACAAAACAACTAAACAGTTAATAAATTGTGTATAAACATGTATCATATTGGACTAATAAAAATATGCTCAAAATATATCCAAAACGCGAAGTTAATAATAATATTAAAACCCGAGTAGATATTTTTTTTACCTGTGACACAGCTGCTAGAAATCGTCACTTGCAATCTAAAATATAATATAGATATAGTTTCAAACAATTTTTATTTCAAGAGTAGAGCTTTTAAACGTCCATCCTCAGCAATCTCTGAATCCTGAAACAGAAACTAAAAAAAAATTGACGCAGTAAAATAAATTTTTGAAAAGATATTTTTCAAGAAAGTTTAAGTTTCGCAAAATACGTAGAAATTACGCAGAACAAGAATTACATTTTCACATACGACCAGAGTTAATTCTACTCAATGTTTTTCATTTGGTTGGTTGACGATGAGCGGAGTTTCATCTTTTGTTAAATCTATTGGTCCTTAAATATAAACATAGTTGTCTTTGGATGGCAAGTCTTTAGAAACTTTCGTTGTTGTTACTCTATAAAGAAAATAGTTGTTTCAAAATAGATTAATCAGCCATTCTGATGTTAAACTTTCTTTATAATATGTATAACGTACAGCATGTTTTGAATTTAGTTGGTATGACAATTTGAAAGAAACCGAATTTTCTGAGTTGAACCAAAATTGTTAAAAAAACATTAGCGTAACCTCCTTTCTTGAGAGCTTTCCGACTGAAAGCATAATGACGTTTCATTACCTGAACGATTGCGTTGATAAAAACCGCAATTTTTATACGTGTGCATGCAAAACAAATTTCTTGGTAGAGGGGTCTAAATACAGCACAAAGAACATTTTCCAAAAGACCAAAAAAGTGAAAAAGCATATTTTAACAAAACGCATTTGACTAGCAGGTTGAACAACAGATGTTCTTAAACCCTGCTGACTGCCATGGCGATTGCCAAATAAACGGATCACCAGATGTAACAAAATGGATCTTAATTATTAATTTAATACCAAACAGAAAACAATAAACTTGCGGAAAAGATGGTATACCGCAAACATAAGGTGCAAAAATTGGTACACCATATCCGGATTTCGACAATTAATGTCTCTTCAGTGATGTTAGGAATCGAAACGGTATTTGGAAGGCCATATAATTTACCTCGATTTAGGATTGACTCTTGAATTTTGAAGAGTCGAAATAGAATGAACGGATTATATAAACCCGAAGGCAAATATAATACAAGCCCAAACGAAAAAATATAAACAAGTCTAAATTGAAAACAACGTTCAAACATATATAAGTACGTCTGAACCAGTGACGACTCTATAACAGATTTTATCCATCGGATCACCAGTGATGGTGATACAAGGCTGAAAACACATTTCTGTATATATAATTCGTCTAAATAACAGCCCAACAATGTTAGATCTGTAAATTTGCGTTAGCAAATTTTTTTGTTCTTCCCTGGCCGGGATTCGAACTCATGTTACTGAGATATCGTGGCACCAAATCGCCTTGCACTGTGCCCGACGCGCTAGACCACTCGGCCACCTAGGCTCTACTATATATATATAAAGTGCCTAGAAAATCAACCTAACAATGTTAGAGTAGATATATATATATATATATATATTTTGAGAGTAAAATATATGTTTGAATTATAACAATAAGGCTAGATTTAAAGTAGAATACGTTTAGAATGTTTAGATTCTAATTTCACAGATCAGTCAAACCAGGTAAATAAACACGTGAGAAATATTTAGAATAGCTTAATTGGTTGGAGTGGACAAAAAGGGGAGTTGTGCTATTTGTTTGGGTTTTTTATCTGTTTGGTTGATGTTTTGTTCACATTTTTTACCCCTTATCTCTTTTTATTCATATTTATTTATATTTAAAGCACCAATTGGCCTCAAACACTCTAAACTTGCGGACAGATCATGTCAGACTGAATCCGTCACTTTAGAATTAAAATATCATCCCAAAAAGTCTAAAAATCATGTAGATAGGATAAGAGTCATACGTTTGAGAAGACGCGATTTGAAAAATTGACATAACTTTAATAAATAACGACGGTTGATTAAAAGAATATTAAAGAAATAGTTTCGATTAGATTTCAACAATTCAGTTCCAAGACTAATTACCGCGATTTTCGCTTCAGTGTAAAGGTTCTCTTTGATTATTGTGCTCTATACAAATTCTTCAAAGCACGACGGCAAATGTTTTCCGTCACTTCTACATGCATACATAATTTAGTCGGTAGCACTATTTAAACTGTAATTTGCAATCTTGAAGCACTATATGACTTTTACGATTTTTGTCACTTATGATTTCATTATAATTCTTACAGAAAACTTAAAGCATAAGCTCAATGGTTTTTGCTTCTTGTCACTTGTGTAATCGTCCAATTTTTTACAGACTTTAACAGAAGGTCTCAATTAACTATAGAAGATCTACAAAAATGCAACAGATTTAAAGCGAAAGTTTAAATATTGGTAGGCGAATAATA